TGTGTGCACGTGTGTACGTGTGTGTGTTTGTGTGTGTGTGTGTGTGTGTGTGTGTGTGTGTGCGTGCGTGTATACTCGTGGTGGAACACCAAACCAATGTGCCAGGATCTGGACAATAAAGATGTATCTTATCTTATCTTATCTTATCTAGAATTGACATTTGAATGACAGGTTGAGCTTTACTTTTAAGTGCCATGTTGTGAACGACTGTCATGTTGTAAATTCCAACATAATTTCTTTGGATGAAAAGTTTTTAATCTTGGATAGCGTTTTTCCTAAAATAGGGACGTAACGAATTGGCTTTCATTCAAATGCTACTTACTTTCATGTTGTTGTTGTTTTTTTTGCTCCAAAGGCGATTTCTTTCCACAGCTTGTCTGCCTTTATTCAATTTGCATAAAATGTATCTCTTTTAGCCCTTGCGGGAAACCATTTGCATACAGTGGAAACCAAGGCACTGTTCACGCTAAAATGCTAACAATATGCAAACAACTGTGTTTCTTGAACACGCACACACACACATACACACACACACACACACACACACAAACACGCATGTATGCATACACAAAAAAGAGAGCTCACTTCTCAACTCAATAACTACAATCTGTGGATTTTAAAAAAACATTACTGAATTTTTAAAAATACTTCACAAACTCAAATTGTGCTGAGTGAGCCTGTAAAATTTGGATCGCTGATTTCAAATATATCTAATCAGATTTTGTCTGCGACGTTTCCTTGTCGAGATAATGGTCAGTTGAAGAAGTCCCCAGTCCAGCCCTATGGCGTCACACATCCGATGACGGCCCGTTCCTTTGCACCGAGCAGCGGTTTTCGGTGAGCAGGAATATCAAAATGTCATTCCTATAAAATAAGTCGCCTCCGATCCCGCCGATCGGCGCAGAGAGTAGGCCGTGTCTCTGTGTGCTTGTAGAAATTGTATAGACGGATTCCTATAACTTACGGCGACCAGTGGTTAGGTGACAGAAATCGGCCGCCTTTGTGTTCTACTCACTCTCACTCAGTAAGCGCCGATAGGTATAAAAATTCCCCTATGATTTTCAACTTGCCCCACATAGAGCTGGCAGACTGCAAACGGCTTTAAGCTCGGATCGACGTTGTCAGCTTTATCGGAATCCAAACTACGGGCAAAAACAGAACGCCGATTTCGGCCCTCTATGTGGAGTCAAGCAAACACCTACTGGCGTCTGTCCACGTCGATCTTCTGCCGCTTAAGTTCTGTGTTCTCTATGTTATCACCCTTGCAAGGGAGTAAAAAACAGGAGATACAAGGACGGTAAATGTAAATGTTTGATAGGAGAGATGCAGCCATCCACATGGTGCCAGCAAGGGGCGTCCAAGCAGAAGTGGCCTTCAACCAGCACAAGCAAAAAGTTTCTCCCCATTTTTATTGAAGCAACTTCCCAAAGACCAGATCACATTGATGAGGAGACCAAACACTTTATGTAGATCTACAGTCTTGTCACTTGGGTGGAGGAAGGAAGGCAAGACGAGTTTGTGTGATATAAGGGCCGAAGATTAGAGATGTTACAAGAGAGTAACAAACAAACAAAAGTAGGAGACATAAGGACAATAGATGTTTGATAGGAAAGAAGGTGCAAACCCCACCAGGGCACCCGCCAATCATCCACATGCATACTTTTTAAAAAAATAAAGGTCTTATCAAGTTCATCCAAAACAGCCCACATACTGATGATACAAGGAGAGATCATATCAACACAAGTAGTTTAGGGTTATTAAAACATTTATTAACTCCAGTATTTCAGTATCATATGGTCAGTCCTGATACGTCATGTCGTGCTACATCAGCAAAGACATAAAAAGTCAGAATTGCCTTAGAAAACTGGTTTTAAAAATCCTTAAAGGCATTATAATGAAAAATGGTAGTAAAATTTAAACAAATGACGTATACACACAAGTAGGTTTGTAAAGCTAGAAAAGGATTTTCCAAAGAGACTAATTCACAACTATAACATCAGCTGCTCAACAATAATATCTGGACTGATCAACCAACATAAACAGATTATTATGTTTTATGTTTAACCTAAACCCCAATCCCTTGCAAATTAGTTCACATAAACAATTCACCATCTACGCACAAAAACCCTACTATAATATACTCGTACATCTACCAACAATGAAAATTACTAAATGGTCAAGCTCCGTCCTTCCATTGCTTCCAACTGGCGAAACTAGTGAAAATGAAAGTGCAAGAAGGACATCTTAACTTACAAATAAATGAAAATACATAGTGAAAGGAAAAAAGGCATTGAAAAAGTATAAAATATACCGGTGTTAGTTAGTAGTGCTAGGAAGAGAGGTGAGAAAGTTGAAAGAGAATGGATAGAAGAAAAACAGTCTGTTCTGTAAATTATCAAAGTGCATCTTGCTGCAGAACTCCGCTGAGTCTCTCAATCTGTTCTTCTTGTAGATATATCACAATTTGGGGAGATCTCGAAAGTGTAGTTCCTCTGTTGAAAAGAGATTAGGTCATGGTGACTAATAATAGTATTAATAGACAGTAACAGTATGAACATTGGACACTAGATCATAGATGCCTTAAAGTTGAACAAGTTATTTTTTTCATTTTAATCCTCTGGTACTCAGAGTCCCTTGACAATGTCTTATAGTTTTAACAACAACTACTGAAGTTTTTCAAGGACCACAAACACAAATGTATGTATATAGCTATATAATATATATATATCTCTCCCCGTGGTTTTATGCACCCCGCAAAATTTAGCAAAATTTGATCATTTTTTGCATAATTTCCGACAATTTTCCTTTATCATTCTTTGTTAAAATTCACAGAATCAAATAATTTCACATTTTTGGGCTCAGTTTGCATAATTTCCAATAATTTTCCTTTATCATTCTTTGTTAAAATTAACAGAATCGCATAATTTCACATTTTTGGGCTCAGTTTGCATAATTTCAAAATTTTTCTTGCATAAATGTTACTGTTGTCCGTTGTACTGTATTGTAAAGCGCTCAGAGCCTGTGTACTTTCATCGGGGTTGAGCGCTATATAATGTCATTTATTATTATTATTAAATGGGGACAGATATGTCTATATATATATATTGGTTTGTCCACCACATGAGAACAAAACGTTCTGGAAAGAATACCGGTACTTGATAATGATACAAGTTACAACATACTTAACAAATGAAAAACTGTCCCAAAGATCACTTTCTTGAACAGATAACGAGGTGTTAATCTAGAAGTGGGCCCAAAGGAGCACAGGTATCATTATTTCAACCATTTGAAGGAGAATGCTTTAAACAATTTCACTGCTCAGACCAAGTCAAGAGTGCTACAGAGAGGTGTAATCTCAAGCATGCTCTGACCGAAATAAACCAAGAGGCAATGGTGACAGAAACTATGAGAAACAGAGTTGTATTTTCATACCTTTGAGACAGAAAACATTTTCAGACCAAGTTTATAAATTATCAAAAGACCCAGTGACTAAGTAAAAATGATAATAGAATTAAAAACAGCTTGATGTTCAAATTTTTTTTTTAAAATAAGGAACTGTTTTTCTCAGTAAAACAAAATTCACATTTTAACAGACTCTGGCAATCACTTTAGAGACTCTGTAAAAAAAATTATGTCAGCTCCCGAAATACCAACAAGAAAAAAGAAAATCTACTTTCCTGATCTACAGTACATCCTCTTAACTGCATGCCTCATAAAACTAGCTTTTTTTTTTTTACACCAGTGTGCTGCTGTCAAGAGAACATAATGACAAACATAGACAGCGCGCACACAATAAACATCTCTATCAAGTCAACCCCAACCACGTCTTCTGCCTTTGAATAAAAAACAAAAATTGTATTCCAAGTCGCTGACAGAATACTAGATGGAAGATGGTAAATGGTTCAGTTACCTGCTTAGTCATCATCATCGTCTGGGACAAACAGCTCGTGTTCTTCCAACCATGCTGCGAATTCACGACTGATCGTTGCACCGCCCAACAGAAAGGGAGTAACTGTCAGGCAAACCTGGAAAATAAAGCATTTTAAAATAAGAACAAAATCGTAATCAAACCCCCCCCCCCCATTATTTCAGATCAGGCACCTAATGCAACCAACATTACAGACTTAAACATAAGTAAAGGTCCACCCTGACAGACAGCCCTGATTTTTTTTCATACCAAAAATGACAGCAAGGAAGGTTAAAAAAAGTTTTGTTTGTTCTGAAAGTGTTAATGGGTTACCAATGCGTACTGCAAAGCTTCCTAAAACCACTATGTGCAGCATTCGAGTGGAAGTTCGATAGACTGGTGGAGCGCAGGTTGTAGTAAAGCTGAAACTCTCGTAGTCTTGAAAATAGCTGACACAGAACTCTAGTCATCCATGCGAAAAGCCCGCGTTTTCATACAGTAACGACGTTTGACTTCCATCGCATATACACTCAAGGCACCCCCCCCCCTCCCCGAAAGAAAGATCGCGCCAAGGTTGTTCATTTTTTTTTTTTTCCTATTCCTGTCCCCTCAATAAGTACCTGTATCACGGCATGCACTTTAAGCCCAAGTGTAACCCCCCCCCTCTCCCCCACACTGGTTAAGTCCCGAAAAACACCTCGACCAATGCGACCGGTGTGAATGAACTTTTTTTACCTCGACAGCCGACGGTCCCCGACACACGCGCTACTCATACATACGAGGTCATGTCACGTGATGCGAATGAGCGTTTGAAAGTTTCACTGACGGGCCCGACTAATCAGGACTCAGATGAAACTTGCTTTTAAAGCAACGGCAGAACAACGAATAGATTTTTCTTTGGCCCATGTCATAATTGTTACAGTAATCAGAACACCGTCGGAGAATTCTGGGTTATAAAAGCGAAAGTAGATCTTGAGTGTACCAAGTCGGAATTCAAAACCAATACTAAGTCGATTTTAGTTGAAATAACGTGCGTGAGTCATCTACTAGATTCGGCATAGATGCTTTAGAAAGTAGTGTTCCAAGTTCCTGCTGATAAAAAGTCCAATCGATGCCAAAAGAGACTGCATAACTTTTTTTTTTTCTAAGAATCGGACGCAACAGACGCAACGACAAAAAATCAGGATACTGGCGATCGAAATCGGGAAAATCGGGATGCTTGAGATTTGGGGTAAAAAACCGGGATATCCAGATTAAATCGGGAAGAGTGGCAGGTCTGATAATTGCAACCCCCTCGGTCCTGCTAGCGACGAAGCAAGGCTTGGCCTGTTCCCAATTCTGAATTACCCAGATTGTCCACTTAGCGCCATGGTCCACTCATGTTATTGTTTTGCATTTATGTGTGTTTTTTTAAATTATTGTAGCCAGGGGGGGGGGGGGGGGGGGCTGAAACCCCTCACTGTTGTTATATATTGATATGTAAACACGATTGTCCTCTTAACTTAACACCATGGTCTGCTCATATTATTGTTTTGCATTTGTACATGTTTTCTTTATTATTGTTTCCAGGGGGGGGGAGCCCATGAACACCCCCCCCCCCCCCAACTCTGCTGGTATGAACTATGATACACGGTGCGGTGGGTCCACCAAAGTTAAATCCCCTCCCCACCCTCAACCATCACCTCTCGCTCACCTTGCCTCGCCGCTGGCTTTCGCTCTGCGCGAAGTCGCCCACGGAACTACCTTTTGTCCGCACGTAGAGAACTAGTGCTAGGCATGTGTAGGCGTAGTAATCACGGGCCCAGACAGGAGGTCCGGTAAAGTACAATCCAGCCGAGCTCCTAACCGCCATAGGGACTCCACTCCAGATTTTCTTCCCGGATTTGTTTTCATAGCCTTGTCCATAACCCTAATCCTGTGGGGGCTGGGTCTATGTCGCCCGATAAGCCTATTTCGGCACCTCGCCTGCGTTCTGGCCCCGCGTCAGTATTGCCCCTGGCTCAGCGCATGCACGCCGAGCATCATCTCACGTTCAATTCAGGTCCCGCGTCGAATCCCCATTCACGCAAGTCAAGTGTGTGCGCATCATGCAGTCTGCTTTAGAGTTTATGCGCGTTTGTGACCTTCTTCTAGAACCGCCTGCGTTGGTTCGTAATCAAGGCATACGTCTCATTCAAAACATGCCAAGTTGGTAGCTCTAGATGTTAGTCCAATAAAATTATAGAAGAAACTGACCCACTTAGACATGGGGAGCTCGTAAGGATAGTCAGGAAACAAGACTTCCATTTTTCTATACAAAATCTTTCAAATGAGCAATCTTTCAAATGAGCTTGATTTTGTATGAAATGATACTACCTGATAAAAAATAAGCTTGTTTAATAGTTTTGAATACCACTGTGCAGGTACAAACAAAGAACAATTTGAGTGCAAAACATTCGGAAATTGACCTATATTATCCCCTTTCGAACCTCGGGTCATTCATAACAACAAGAGCGTCTAGAAAGGTTTTATTCGAATGGGCCTAACTACTCGTAATGTCTTATCAGCTTGTGAGAGGGTTATTCATGTATTTGTAACACTTTATAAATCAAATAGAAAGCTATGAAAGATACAGAGCGTTATCTTCATCATCGATGAACACACTCTCACGGTATTCATGGAGAAAACGCACGTTTCCCGGCGCACGCGCTGTACACCAACAGTACACACTGAGTGAGTACCCCGGCGGCCTGCCCGATGTAATTGGTTGCTGATAAGATTCGCATCTCAGCACAGACGCAGGACAAGAATTAATGGACAGATCTATGGCCGCAAGGCAGCAGAGGTTTTAAATCGGCCACCTCTATTCTCACCCGTTGTGAGAATAGCGCAGGCGAGTCTTTTTGCTATTCTCACCTGGTGCGCGTTCACCGTTATAGCCTAGATCTAGGCCAACCAATTTTGCGTTTACCCTGAACCGCAGAATTCTACACTGTGATAACAGAAAATTTTTAGAATTCTGCGCCGTGAACAAACGTTTCATTACTACTGTTGTTAGCCTAAAAGTGTACAATTTTGTCTGTGGGCAGTGGAGAGAGAGAGAGAAAAAGAGAGAGAGAGAGAGAGAGAGAGAAAGAGGCTGGATTGTACTTTACCGGACCACCCGTCTCGGCCCGTGATTAATACGCACGCCTAGCCTAACTACGCACTCATAGTACTCTGCGTGCGGCGTGCGGATAAAAGGTAGTTCCGCGGGTGACTTCGCGCACGCATAGTGAAGTCAGCGGCGACTGGCGAGGCGAGGTGAGCGAGAGGTGGTGGTGGTTGAGAGTGGGCAGGGGATTTAACTTTGGTGGACCACCGTGTATCATACCAACAGTGGGGTGG